GCAGTTCATAATTCCTTGATTTTTCTTAATGATAATTTCATCCTGTAATTACATTGGAACCAAAAAAGGGAAATTATTTTATTAATACAATTCTTACCATCCGAGAAGAACTTGAATAACATAGATGTGAATACGGATCTGTAGAACCTCTGTGGCAAACGTTCTCCTTCTGAAGGGATCATGCTGTGTTGTAGGGTATGCTATCACACTTGGCACACTTTCTGTACACACCAATTTATGGTAATGATGGGAATTTTGGGGAAAGTGACCAGTCCATCTTAGCGTCTGTAACAAAGGCGACTAAGTGGCCCAATGGATAAAAGTCAGACAGACCTACTCCGACTCCAAATACTCACTAGCTATGTGACCCTGGCCAAATCACTTACCCTTTCTCAGACTCAGTTCCCTCATGTGTAAAATGAGAATAGTAACAGTGCTCACATGTGAGGGTTGTTATGAGATAAAAAGAGATAACATTTGTAAACTGCTCCACAAACCTTAATACTAGCTATAATTATTATCACCAAGAAAGACAAGAGTTAGTTTCTGAAAACACAAAGAAAAACAAGGAAAGATAAAGGAACACTCTCTAAAGAAACCAATGTGGATAAAGAGGCCAGGTGATACAGTGAAGAGACTGCTAGACCTGAAGTCAGGAAGACCTTAGAAAAAATCCTGACTCACATACTTACTATCTGTATGACCCTAGGAGAGCCAGGTGCTCTCTCTAAGACTTAGTTTCCTCACCCATAAAATGGGGATAATAATAACATCTACTCCCACAGAATTACTGTAAAGATTAAATAAGATCATCTATGCAAATCAAATCTCAAAGAACTTTATTAAAAAGTAGTTATTATTATAATTACAAGGAACTCACCAACCAACTTAGATTTTTCAAAGACAAGGATGAGTAAAAGAAGCAAGTCACAGTTCCATAAGGATGACAGAAGTGGTAAATCCCAGAGTGAACAGAGGCTGGTAAGGCTAACAAAGGGCAACAAGAAGGGGTTTTGAAAAACTATACTGTGGAAAAGAGATAAAAGGTTAAAGAAAGGATAACTCCACAACTCAGAGGGTTTTAGGATGAGGATGACAAGTGACAAGCGAAGACACAGAACTTCTCAATTTTTCTTTTTTTTTTTACCAAGGGAATGAACTTTTAAATGAAATGGATAAATAAATATGGCTAATAGAGATTGAATACACCAGAGAAGTAAGGAGAAAATAAGGGAGCATCTAGACACCTGTGTAAGAAAAATAAAGTGAAGAAAAGTACACTTCAATTTACACTCAGAGTCTAGAATACATTTCTAAGGAGATCATTAATTTAGATGAGGAAGGAATGAGGAAAATGACTCTAAATAAGGAGATAGTGGTCACAAAGATCTGGAGTGGAATCATCATTATTTCTTTTTTATTTTTGAGGATGTTAATAAACTGGTAGATCAGAAGAATGCTGTAGATAGGGTTTCCTTAGATTTTAGCGAAGGATTTGATAAAGATTTTCATGTTCTTTCTCTGAAAATGATAGAAATATACAGGGTAAACTATTACAAAATTAGATGGATTTAAAACAGAATGACTGACCATATACAAAGGGTAATTACTGAAGGTTCAGAGGCAGCTTAGAAGTAGGCACTGCTGTACTCTCCTCAGCTCACAAATGAGGATTGTATTCCTCCTAGGAGTCATATTTTAGGAGGACATTGAAGAGCTGGAGGCTGCTCAAGGGCGGGCAACCAGGATGGTAAGAATAACAAGTCCAAGCTGTATAAGGATGGGTTAAAGGAAATGGGGATATTTAGACAAGAGAACAGAAGACATAACAGGACAGGAGACATAATAGCTTCTTTCAAGTGTTTTATGGACTTTTACCAGAAAGAGAGAGTAACTTTGTTCTGTTTTGCTCCAGAGGACAAAAACCAAGAGCAGGAGATTAAAGTTATAAAATTGCAAATTTAGGCTTCACGAAAGAAAAAAAATTCCCTCAAATTAGGGCTGTCCAAGATTAGAATGGAATGCCACAGCAAAAAGTGGTTCCACCTTATTGAATGACTGTATAAACAAAGATTGAATGACCAGGAGGTGAGCATACTGTAGATGGTACTGTTTTTCAGATTGGTGGTGGACAATATGACCACTGAAATCCCTTCAAATTCTGAAATTCTATGACCACTTCTAAGGGATGTAAGTTGGCCTGAGGTTCCTTCTAACTCTAACATTCTATAACTCAATGGGAGAGAGTATATAATCTCATGCTATAGTAAGAAACACTTTTGACCTTGGGAATGAGATATTGTCTAAACTGAACATCTTCTGACACTGCATGGGGCAGGTTGTTGGGAATGAGGTCAATGTATTGCTGTATCTCATGTATCACAGCATTGGTGTAAGGCATCTTGTTTCTCTCCTCCATGCAGGGACTTTGATTTTGGCCAATCACATGATCAATTTCTTCATGAAGTTTTCCTGTCACAATAGAATGAAAATTGATCTCAAAAGTAGGAAAAAAAAAACTACCTTCTCTCATATTTTCTCTGATTTTTCCCTAAGAACTACATTGGTAAATAATGCACTTGACCCTCATATTCTGATAGATAGATAGATAGATAGATAGATAGATAGATAGATAGATAGATAGACAGATATAAACAGATAGATAAATAAATGGGTGAAAATTCCTTTTCAGTGTGTAAAGTCAGCTGAGAATCCCTTGAGACACCTATGAACATGCCCTCAGAACAGCTTCAAGTTATCCTTAAAAAAAATGCAGGCCAAGCAGCACTTGGTTAAGGAAATGAGGAGGGGTCTCAGTCTGGACTTGTTCCAGAACTTAATGTGACCAACCATAGGCCCAAGGTACTTCCCTGTGTGGATATATAAGTGGCAGGAAGCCAACGGCACCAGCTCCTTCTATGGTCAGGCAGGATCAAGAAGCTATCAGGAACTAGTGCCTCTCAATCATTCAGTTCCTCCCAGTTCTATCACTGGGCTCCAGCCTCTATCCTTATCACTATTTCTATCCTATCTCTAAGGAAAACTCACAATTACATAGCACTTAATTAAGCAGAGCAGAGGCAGTAGTAGACAAGGAAGAATAAGTAAACATGACCCTGTAATGACTTAAATATATTAAAATGACAACAGAAAAGTTTCCAAAAGGACCATGAACAACTCCAGTGCTGACTAAATGAAGGATGTGTGTTATCAGCCTGTAATCCCCACCTGATATCTCAGGGTGTTTCAGGAGAAACAGGAGTCCATATCTCAGGGTGGTGCTGGTTTTCTCTGTTCCTGCACCAAATAGATCACTTGCAGTGTGGACCAAGTTTTCAATGGTAAATTCAGATTGTGGTTGGTACTTTTCCTATGAATAATTTGGTATGATTAATGGAAAAGTAAGGGAGGCAACAGAGCATCATGGAAAGCGTAATGGATTTGGAAGCAGAGGACCTTGGTTTAAATCTCAATTCTGATATTTTTTTAATTTGGGGTGGAAGGATGCAATCAGGGTTAAGTGACTTGGCCAGAATCACACAGCTGGCAAGAGTCTGAGATCACATTTGAACTCAGATCCTACCAACTTCAGGGCCAGTGCTCTATCTACTGTGACACCTAGCTGCCCCCAACCCACCATGAGCTCTGATCTTGACCTTGGGCAAGTCATTTAACCTTTTTATGTTTCAGTTTCCTCACGCGTACAATGATGGGGTTGGATTCAATGACCTCCAAGATCCCTTGCAGTTCGAAATCCTATAAATAAATTAAATTTGAGCAACACAATCCAAAGTGGAACAAGAAGCTGGCAATTAATAAGACAGTATGGCTCTTGCATAAATTACATATGGGAGAGAAACAGAGAGAGGAAGACAGAGAGAGAGAGGGAGAGAGAGAGACTGGACCTGCAATTTCATTGACACAGGGAAATTTCCAGGTGAAAAATTCTGTCTCCCAATGCAAATCTGCAATCTCTTTGAAAAACTTAGTCTCAAGACAGTTGCCTAGCCCTAGAGCACTATAGGGTTAAGTGACTTGCCCAGGATCATATAGACATTTTGCGACAGAGAGGGGACTTGAACTCAGGTTTGCCTGGCTCTGAGGGCAGCTGTTTATCTACTATATTAGGGGTGTCAAACTCTCAGCCCCCAGGCCACAAGCCACCAACAAACTGTGTGTGGCTACAACCAGATTAAAATATAATTGGGAAATGTTTAGTAAAATAAATAAAGATACAACATAGAGAATGTTAATTTCTGGACTCTCTAAGTTAATATAAGGTCTACCAGAATCCATTTCTATTCATGTTTGACACAACTTTACTTGTATCATATTATCTTTCAGGATATCTATACCTATATAGTATATAGCAATCATATCTGTAGATATACAAAAGCAGCTAGGTGGTGCAGTGGGTTAAGTGCTGGACCTAGAGTCAGGAAAACTCATCTTCCTGCATTCAAATCTGGCCTTAGACACTTAGTGTCTGCATGACCCTGAACAAGTCACTTAACCTACTTGCCTGTTTCCTCATCTATAAAGTAAACTGGAAAAGGAAATGGAAAACCACTCCAGTATCTTTGCCAAGAAAACCCAAATTGGAGTCATGAAGAGTTGGATTCAACTGAAATGACTAAGCAACAAATACACAGGCACTGCATAAATGTGAGCTATTGTATTTGCCTCCTGATTTACTAAGCTAATAAACACTGTTCCTCTGTATGAATTTAGTGAGATACACAGGATTTATTAATTTAGCAAATGAGGAAGGAAAAATTATCAACATACATATATACATATATATACATATATATGTATATATCAACACAAAAATATCCACATATATTTTCCCATTTCATGCTCATCAAAATACTGTGATATCGGTAGTACAATATTATTGTCATTTTACTATTGAGGAAATTGAGACACTAAATGCTTTGCCCTTGACCATGAGATGTTGGCATTGAGGAACAGTCACCACTGAGGTCAGAAATTGAATATACAATAAATACTGTATGGACTAAAGATAAGAAAGGTAAAAACATAGGACAAGCAGGAAGGTGGTAGAGGACATAATTCAAGTTCAAGTCAACTCTATATAACCATGTGGGTGATGAGGGGTAAAAAGGATATGGCCTTATTAAGATTCTCACACGTGATACACAGAGCATTGCAAGAGACTATTGTACATAATAGTTATAAAAATCTCTTGCTCTGGTCCACATATCTGCCCTCTCTTACATTTCCTCATTCACCAATGGTGCAGGAATCTGTGGGAGAGTATACTCTTATGTGCATAGGTTGAAGAAGGAAGGATTTTCCTGGTCAGTTATGTTGCCACATTACTAAATTAAATGTGTTTTGCTTTGAAATAATATGTTTTCTGGTTGGTCTGGTAAGAAAACTATGGGTGGTGACCTCAGATAACACTTCTTTCCTTTAAGTGGGTCACAGATCCATTTCAATATGTCCATCAGCATATCTTTTACCTTCTCCCATATTTCTGATACTTTCAGGGCTTCACTTACTCCATATGAATTACATTAGCATATAGCTTTGTTCTACTTTTATTCCTAATTTGGTTGATTTTTTTTCTTTATGTAACTTTTTCACTATTTTTCTTCCCCTTGGTTTTGCTCTTTGTGTTTGTTGAGGGATGTAAAATGAAGAGCCTCTAACTACACTATCTTGACTATAAAACCCACCATCCTTGTCCCAAGTACTTACCACAGCAGCCCCTCTATTCCAATCAGGCTGCTCAGATTAAAGTTCCCTATACCTCACTGTCTTTGTAGAGTCCTGAAATGTCCTGCCAAGCCTTCACTGCCTAACTCTAGGATGTTCTTCAAGACCCAGATCAAAATCTAACTCCTCCAGAAGGAAGTCTTATGTTAACTCTCTCCAAATATCATATTTCTTACTAATACCAAATTCTTTCATCACTTAAATGTTCAATTCATAATCTATTTTGGCTTTCCTTACACAATACTGATAATTATTCTCTTGTCCTTACAAGCGCTTCCCTCTGTGTGCTGGGTTACAAATTCCATTAGGTCTAGGACCCTACCTTCTCATTCTTCTGTTTGCCCCATGTAGTGCTGTAAGCACACTAGCATTGATATCTGATTATTTACTGCTCTGTGTTTGTGAATGAGTCAGCCTCTCATACACAAGCCATTTCACCTACAAGAACTGAGATTCAGAACTACTGCTCACACTCTACCTGCTCCATTTTCATCTGGAAACAGTCAATGAAGTCCCGAGGATTGCTGGGGTCCAATGTTCTTTGGTATTCCTTCACTTCTTCCTAAATAAATTCATGTTGTAAATGATAATTTTTAATTACTTTGTGATGAGATCCAGGGAGATAATGTAATAGAGATGGAAAAGAACTGTACACCTAAAAAGAAAGATTTTATATCATACTTTATTAGAAAAAGAAAATACTTCTCTACTCTAGCACTTGGAACATGTTGAGAAGAGGGCTAAATAAGGGTGGGACAAATGCCCTTTGGGAAATAATAACTTTTTTTTTTAATTTTATCAATTTACGCTGATTTATGAACAATCACTTCCATATGCTTTTGAGTTTAAAATTTTTCTCCCCCTTCCTGCCCACCACCCTCCCCAAGATGGTAAACAATCTGATACAGACTATACCTTTACATTCCTATTAAACATATTTTCACACTACTTAAGTTGTAAGTAAAAACTAAAGCCAATAGGAGGAACCATCAGAAAGAGGAAACAAAACTCAAAATAGAGAAAAAAAAAGAGATAGTGATTCAACTTTCACATTTATGATTACTATCTGTATCTTTTTCTCCAACCTTCTTTACCCCATTTATGTTTTTCTTTCTCCTCTCTCCCTTCCCCCCCTCACCAGTACTTTGCTTTTGACCACAGCCTCCTTCAGTCTCTCCTCCCTTCTATCATCCCCCTCACCTCTTTTTCCCTCCCTTCCTTCCCTCCTCCCTTTTCTTTCCCCTTTTTCCTCCTACTGCCCATAGGGTGTTAGATTTCCATACCTAACTGATTATGTTATTCCCTTCTTGAGCTAAATCTGATGAGAGCAAGGTTCAAACAATGCTCACCCCCCTCTCTTCTTTCCCTCTGCTGTAATTGGATTTTCTGTCTTTTCCTGTAATGTAATTTACCCTTGTCTGCCACCTCCTTTCTCAGTACATTTTCTAAGATCAGACTAATCCTCTTACTTGGATCCATTTAACCCAGTTGATTATATTTTTTTTTTATCATTACATCAAAGTCAACTAATATCCACCCCCTTTATGTATACTCCTTTAACATGGTGTAATAACAATACAGTTCTCAAGAGCTGCAAGTGTCATCTTCCCTTGTAGGGATGTAAACAGTCCACCCTTACTAACAACATTTTGTATCTTTCTGTCCCATTTACCTTTTTATGTCTTTCTTGAATCTTGTACTTGAAGATCAAATTTTTTGTTGAGTTCTGGTCTTTTTATGAGGAAGGTTTGTAAGTCCCCTATTTCATTGAATATCCATCTCCTCCCTTGAAAAATCATGCGCATTTTTACAGGGTAATTGATCCTTGGCTGCAATCCACGCCCCTTTGCCCTATGGAATATCATGTCCCACTACCTGCGGTCTTTTAACATAGAAGCTGCAAGGTCCTGTGTAATACTGACTGTGGTTCCATGATATTTACATTGCTTCTTTCTGACTGCTTGCAACACCTTCTCTTTCATCTGGTAATTTTGGAATTTTGCTATTATATTCCTTGGCATTGTCAATTTGGGATCTCTTTCAGGTGGGGAGCGGTGTATTCTTTCTATGGTTATTTTACCTTCTGGTTCTAGGACTTCTGGGCAGTTTTTCTTTATGATTTCCTGAAAGATACTATTTAGGCTCTTTTTTTCATCATGATTTTCAGGTAGTTCAATTTTTAAATTGTCTCTCCTGGATTGTTTTTCCAGGTCGGTTGTTTTACTGATGAGGTATTTTATGCTTTCATCCATTTTTTCATTTTTTTGTTTCTGTTTGACTCATTCTTGCTTTTTTATAGAGTCATTAGTTTCCATTTGTCCAATTCTAGTTTTTAACAGATTGTTTTCTTCTGTTAGTTTTTGTACTTCCTTCTTCAATTGGCCAATTGTATTTTTAAGGGATTTGTTTTCTTCAGTGTACTTTTTTTTCCAGTTTGCCAATTGTATTTTTTAAGGACACTTCTACCTCTCTCATTGGACTTTTAAAATCCTTCTTCAGCTCTTCTAAGAAGACTTTTTGGGCTTCAGACCAGTTCATATTCCCTTTTGATGTTGTAGATGTGGGTTTGTTGACAATGTTGTCCTCTTCAGAATTTCTGTCTTGATCTTCACTCTTCTCATAGTATGAATCTATGGTACATTTCTTTTTACTCATGGTGTTTCTTTATTCCCTGGCCTTTAAAGAGATTGAGCTCTCCTGCTGGGGAACAGAGGGCACTGACCCAAGCTTCTTGTGTTGGCAGCCTAGGTCTTGGTCACTGGCTTTGTGTGCTGGGGGCCTCTTATGTTGGCAACTGGAGGCTGCAGGGTTTTGGCAGTTCACCTTGTGTTGGGCTGGAATCAGCAAGGCTGGAACTTTCAGACAATTCTAGGTTGCCTGCTTTTCCTTTCCTTTAGCTTTCTTCAACTCCTTTTAGATGGGTGTTGCAGAGTGTTTATCTGCCTGGGGCCCCTTGCAGTGCTGCCTTCCTCATTTCTGCTAATGCACTGGGAGATTCCTTTGTGGTTGAGTGCCAAGGCACCTGGTGGTTTTCTGAAATGGTTTCCACCAGTTTCCCCACCCTCACTGAGGCACTGGGAGGTCCGGGTGTTAGTGTTTGCCTGCTCTACTACCTGGGCTTCAGGATCTCCTTCTGGTTGACAGTTGGAGCTTACCTGGTATTATGTTGGAGTCAGCAAGGTTGGGACCTTAGGAAGACTCTAGATTGTTTTCTTCAGCTCCTTTCAGATGAATGCCACAGGATGCTTATCTGCCTGGGGCCCTTTGTAGTGCTGCTTCCCTCATTTTTGCTGAGGCACTGGGAGACCAGTTTGCTGGGCTGCTGCACTTCTGTTCCCCGTCTTTCTTCCTACCATACCACATCACTTCCCATTTCTAAGCCCCTATTCATCACTTTACCCTAACCAGTTTTTGCTTTCACACGTCTTCTTGTCTATCTTTAAATCATATTTCATTTTTTTTTTAATATTTAGGCAACTGAGGGTTAAATGACTTGCCCAGAGTCACATAGCTATTAAGTGTCAAGTGTTTGGTCTGAGGCCACATTCCAACTCAGGTCCTCCTGATTTCAGGGCCGGTGCTCTATCCTGTGTGCCGCCTAGCTGTCCCCTAAATTATATTTCATTTTATTTCAATCAGTAACCCCAGGACGGGGGTTGAAGGAACTGAGCTGAAAGTCTTGCTATTCCAAATGCTCTTAGGTTCAGGGTCCTGGACTGTAGAAGAAGTGATGATGTCAAGGTCGTGATGCTAGGTCTCTCCCTCAGGATGCCCCACTGCTTTAGCCAGGCTGGTCCATTTGCCTTATGAATAGCAATTGACTGGAAATTGCCAGGCAACTGGTGGTGATGGCCAGCCCCTTCTCCACAGGAGATGCTTCCCATATGAAAACTGTGACGGCTGGACTAGAAACAGCTATCTAAACACTGCTGTCACAATATGGCCCTTCTATTTATCTACCTGTTGGTTGTAGCTAGTCATCAGTTGTTGCTAGTGGTAATGAAAAAGATGGGCCTCTTCTCCACAATGATTTCTCCTCTCTATGAGAACTGTAGAGACTGTCCTAGAAGTGATTTGGAGGAGAGGAGGACAGTTGTTTTCCCAAGGTTTTGGGCTCAAGGGCCTGGGCTGTCTCCATCAGAGTAAGAGGGGAGATGATCATCAAGGTGGGGGTGGTCTGACCAGCCTGGATCATTCAGGTGTTCTCCCTGCTGAAACTATTTTGTTAATATTTTTCAATATGTGTAGTTTAGGATCAGTGGGAACAGTTGCTAGGCTGCATCTCCACAAGGGAGAGACTCTGGACACTCGAGTGAAAGTATTGCTGTTCCCCAGGCTCTTGGGTTTGGAGGTCCTGGGCTGTCTCCATCAGGGTCAGAGGGCAGATGGTGGTCAAGGTGGTACTTATATTAAAGAGGCCCGAGGACAGAGTCTTGGAGATATTCACACTTAGGGGATTTAAACAGGATAATGATCCAGCAAAAGAACATAGAGAAGCAAAAATCAGGCACAAAGAAGAACCAGTGGAGAACAGCATGACAGAGGTGAGGGAGAAGAGAGTATCAATCAGCCAATCCTCCAGTTGTCACTCAGCTCTTACTAGGCTCTGTGCTAAGCACCAGGGGCACACAGACAAAAGTGAAACAGCCGCTGCCTTCAGAGAGCTTACATTATAATGGAGGAGAAAACATCTACACAGAAGAGTGGCAAAAGCCCCAGATTCCAACGTGGTGGAGTAATGCTGCTCTCAGTTTATTCCTATATTATTTCTGGTAAAATATTCTAGAATAGGAGAGTGCATACAGCTAATTGTGAGCAATGTCTGACAGTACCATACTACTACTGCCTGGTTCCTGCCAACCAACACACGCACACGCACACACACATACAGAGTACACATTGATTTTGCCTTTTACAGTTTAAAAAGAAGTTATCCCATAGACTCTATGGCATCAGCATCTCCATTCATACCCTCCTGCAGTGCCCTATGGCCCCCTCAGTTTCAGATTTCATAGAAGGAAAATAACCCCTCTACTAGCTAGCTTAGATGGGGGAGGAGGAGGAAGCTTGAAAGGAAAGAGCTTCCAAGAAATGCTGCTGAGTCAGCTCATTGACTTCCTAGCAATGTTCTCAGCCCTGCTTCCCTTCCTTCTGCTATTCATCAAAATATCAAGTAAAACCCTGGACTCCCCCAAATGATCCTAAAGCAGTGCCTTTTCCTCCTGGAATTATTCACCAAAGGTAATAGAACCATTGCTGGTAGGTTCCTGTGAGCTTTGCTCCATACGAAAAGGAATAAAAACATACAAAGTATTCCCCTGAAATGTTCCTCACCATGCTGCCTCCTCACAAGAATAGCATGAACTAGGGCAGCTAGGTGGCGCAGACGATAGAGCTCCAGCCTTGGAGTCAGGAGGACCTGAGTTCAAATCTGGCCTCAGACATTTGACACTTGTGTGTCCTGGGCAAGTCACTTAACCCCGATTGCCTCACCAAAAAAAAAAAAAAGGGCAGAACAGCATGAACTCATTAGTAGAGCTGCACTGCCTCTCATCTCTTCTCTCAGCTGTCTTGACCCTTGACCCCATGGCATATCCCCAGCATGGGCCAAAAAGTGAAAACATGGTGGTTTCAGACTACAGTAAATTCCTTGGACCAACCTCAGTCTCTATAAGGTACCAGGGGTAGGAAGCATATTTCTAAGGTCAGTGGTAACAAAGTGAAAAGACACCAACCTTTTGGTTTTTTTTTTAAGTCTTCCACAAGATGCTTTGCCACTTCTTGGACTCGCTCTTCAATGCTCCTCTTCCCCATCCCAAAATTCCTCAGGTTCATGAGGGAGAAGCAGCACAGTTGCTTCCATCTCTCTCCATTGCTTACGATAAGGCCTATAAAGGGGAGCAGGAAGAAGAAAAGCCTTAGACTCCAAAGTTTTTGAAAGCCCATGTCAAAAAGTCCATGTCCAAAGCCACTCAACCCACATTTTTTGTTTCGCGAGAATAGAATGCAGTGGGGGGCAGGGTGACAGCGTGCTTTCTCCTGTATCAATACTGTTTCCTGTCCCATCCCACACATCATTTTCCTTCATCACAGTCACAAACACATCAGGTGCTTGTGACTACATCTACATCCCCCTCCTGGTAATGAAGGGGCCACAAAGGGGGAGGCCAGGACAAAGACATATTTTTTGAGAAACAGAATGGTTGTAGGGTGAGTTAGTTTATATCTCTGCATCTTTTTACACAAGGAACTTAAAGGATTTGATGTCTTGAAGTCCTAGTCTTCCTACTTCACATAGGGACCAAAGGGTGAGATTATCTGCGTGTTGTCTTTTTGTGGGATCCTAGGTGGTGCAGTGGAAAGAGTACCAAACCTGGAGTGGGGAAGACTCATCTTCATGAGTTCAAATCCAGCCTCAGACACTTACTATTTATGTGACACTAGGCAAGTCACTTAACCCTGTTTGTCACAATTCCTCATCTTTAAAATGATCTGGAGATGAAAAAGGCAAACCGCTCCAGTATCTTTGCCAAGAAAACCCCACATCAGGTAACAGAGTCAGACACGACTGAAATGACTGAACAATAACAGGTACACTCGACAGGAACACAAAGTTACATAAGCTCAGTAGCAATCCCTATATCATGTGGCTTTCCTTAGCTTTCTTTTTTTCCCCTAAGTCTGAAACAACCCTACATAAGATTTTTGTTTGTGGGGAAATAATTGTTGAGTCAAAACAAAATATAACAACTATACAAAGAACTGTAGTTAATTTGAGCAACGGGAAAGGTATACCCATAACTTTATGGTATACACATGATAGACACATACTAAAGCTTCACGTGGAATATCCTTTCTCCAAATAGATCACACTTTCCTACCTTCAGATATCACCCTCGGATTCCAGACACAGGATGAACACTTCACCTAATGGCCTTTATATTGTGAATGATATTTTTGCCTGTAATTTTATTTCCATGGGACCTTTATCAGGATCAATTCTTCACTCTCAGCTTCAAGATCCTTCATACAGGAACTCTAGAAGAAGAAAGTGACTGATATTCTTTGGAATGGACTTTAATTCCTGTTGTTTTCACTAAATACCTCTGAAAAAATGGAAGCTAACACCCAGAAGCCTCAAAAGATCTGTTGGAAAGTTCAGATCCCCAGCAAAGTGCCTCTCCTCTCTCTTTCATTGATGTCAATCTCATAAATTGCATTCACTAACACATACTCTTGATCTCATAACAAAAATAACTCTGCTACTAAAGTAGCTCCTGCTCTGCATTGGAATCCCCTCCAAAAGAAATAAAAATATAAAAAAGGAAAGAAGAAAAGCAACTCCCCTTCAATGCCAGTGAAGAGCTGAAGAAAGGGCTTGGGAAAATTTAATCTTTTGCCGTTGTTCTGTATCTGATTTCACTGAACCATAGACTGTTACAATCAAGGGATCTTAGAAATTGTCCAGTCTTCTCCTCTTATTTTATACATGAAGAATCTGAGAAAGATTAAGTGACTCACCTAAAGTCAGGAATGGTTAAATCTCAGACTAAGCCTAGGACTCAGGAATCCTGACCAAAATCCTGGAGTCTTTCCACCCCAGGTCATGAAATGAAAGGAAAATAACAGGATAAACACTACCCTTAACACTCTGGGCTCTGGGGTGGGGCAGAGTCACTTCACCTTCTCCCTCTTCTGCTAAAGTCCAGCCCTTTCTCCTCTGAGATCAGACTCAGAGAATCAGTTTAATGTTGCAAGATTCAGCAACATAGAGCAATCCAAATTTCTCCAGGGAGCCCTAAAATACCTAGAGAATCCAATCAACATCTCCAGGTATGCCCTTACACAGAAGGAACACCAAAACTTTCTGGGTTTCTGAAGGCCCATAGGACATTCAGCATTTTCTCCTGGGATCCCTGCCACAGCAAGAGTAATCTAAGACAGGTAGCCTCCATTTCAGATGAACAAGTTGAGATATATCTCCTGAAAGTATGAAGCTCCCAAGAAAGGGAAATTAAGTACTTGAAGCTGATTACTTGGGGTTTTTAGGTCAGCCGGCAAACCTTATCTAACGTGCTTTCACTCTTTAAGGCTCTCACAATAAGGCAAAAACTGACAGAAGGAAAACATTAACATTGAGCAGGTAGGCACCCCACTCCAGGGCAACAGTATCAATACTTATAAAGGATTCAGAATACAACAGGTATCAGTACTTAAATTTTACAAAAAAATAACACAAAGAAACTCTTCTGAGATAATGAAATATTGGCTGCACAATTACAGTTTATAATGAAAGAGAAAAGATTCTTAAAGGAAAAGTTAAATGAGTTACAGGAGGAAATAGACAGTAAAAATATACTAGTAGGGAACCTCAACTTTCCCCTCTCAAAGCCAGATAAATCAAACCAAAAAATAATCAAGAAAGACGTTAAGTAGATGAAGAGAATTTTAGAAAAGTTAGGTATGATAGACCTCTGGAGAAAACAGAATGGGAATAGAAAGGAATATACCTCTTTCTCAACTATACATGGCACCTTCAAAAAAACTGACTATTTATTAGGGCATAAAAGCCACAGAATCAAATGCAGAAATGGGGAAATATTAAATTAATCCCTTTCAGATCACAAGGCAATATAAATTACATTCAAAAAAGGACCATGGAAATATAGATTAAAAATTCGTGGGAAACTATCAATACAATTCTTTTTTTTCTTTTATTTATTTATTTGTTTGTTTGTTTATTTTTAGTTTTCAACATTCACTTCCACAAGATTTTGAGTTCCAAATTTTCCCCCATCTCGTCCCTTCCCCACCCAAAGATGGTATGCATTCTGAATACCCCTTCTGCTAATCTGCCCTCCCTTTTATCTTACCCCAATCCTTCTCTTATCTAGTTCCCCTTCAATTTTCCTGTAGGGCAGGATAGATTTCTATACCTCATTTCCTGTATTTCTTATTTCCCAGTTGCATGTGAAAACAATTTTTGTAACACTTGTTTTTAAAACTTTGGGTTCCAAATTTTCTCCCTTCCTCCCTCCTCACCCACCCTCACTGAGAAGGCAAGCAACTTGATGCAGGTTATACATGTGTAGTCATGCAAAACACTTTCATAGTAGTCATGTTGTGAAAAACTAAGTATATTTCCCTTAATCCTATCCTGCCCCCCATTTATTCTATTCTCTCTTTTGACCCTGTCCTTCCTTAGAAGTGTTTGCTTCTGATTACTCCCTCCCCCAATCTGCCCTCCCCTTTATCATTCCCCTGCTCTCTTCTCTCATTCCTCCCCTATTTTCCTGTAGGGTAAGATAGATTTCCATACCCAAATTGAGTGTGCATGTCATTCCCTCCTTAATCCAAATCTGATGAGAATAAGATTCACTCATTCACTCTCACCCTCCCTCATTATTCCTCCACTACAAAACTCTTACCTTACCAACTTGGAAGAACTGAAAATTTACAGGTCCCTACAAGTATCTCTGAAAACAGCTGCACAAAACCCCCAAAGCTTGGCACAATACATTCTCCACACTGGAAGCAGACCCCAACCTTAACAAAGAGTCTATAACTCAAGTAATTGGCTGAGATCATGAGCAAACTTCACAAAAAAAAAAAAAAGGCAGACCATACAATCTTTCTTTGGTGACAAAGAAGATCGAAACATACAACCAGAAGAAGACAGCAAAGTCAAAGCTCCTACATCCAAAGCCTCCAAGAAAAATATGAATTGGTCGCAGGCCATGGAAGAGTGCAAAAAGTATTTTGAGAAGCAAATAAGAGAAGTAGAGGAAAAACTAGGAAGGAGTTCAAAGGAAATAGGATTACAACCAAGAATCACCTACCCAACAAAACTGAGTATAATCCTTCAGGGGAAAAAATGGATATTCAGTGAAATAGAGGACTTTTAAGCATTCTTGATAAAATGACCAGAGTTGAATTGAAAATTTAACTTTCTAATACAAGACTCAATGAAACATGAAGAAGTAAACAGGAAAGAGAAATCATAAGGGACTTATTAAGGCTGAACTGTTTACATTCCTGCATGGAAAGGTGGCATTTATAACTCATGAGACTTTTGTCAGAACTAGGGTAATTGGAGGGAAAAAATTATATGTACCCTTTAACCCAGCAATACCACTTCTAAGTCTGTATCTGAAAGAGATTATTCAAATGGAAAAAGGACCCACAGGTACAAAACTATTTATAATAGCTCTTTTATTGGTTGCAAAGAATTAGAAATTGAGCAAATGCCAATCAATTGGAGAATGGCTAAACAACTTGGGGGATATGATTGTGATGGAATACTATTGTAATATAAGATATGATAAGCAGGATGCTTTCAGAAAAACCTGGGAAGATATACATGAACTGATACAAAGAAACATGAACAGAACCAGGAGAACATTGTACATTATAACAGTAATACTGTATGATGATCAACTGGGAACGACTTAGCTATTCTCAGCAATACAATGATCCAAGACAATTACAAAGGACTCATAATGAAAATACTTTCCGCCTTCAGAGAAAAAACTGATGAGTCTAAATGCAGGTCGAATCTTTTCTTTTTTTACTTCCCTTTTTCTCATTTTTTTCTCCTTTTGGCTTGGTTTTTTTTTTTTTGTAAATTGGCCAATAAGGAAATATGTTTTACATGACTGCACTTGTATAATATATATACATACATACATACTTACATACACATAGAGAATCTGGAACTTAAAAAATTTTTTTAATGAATGTTTAAAATTGTTCTTATATGTATTTAAGGAAGAAAATTGAAATAAATAAAATGAGAAAAAAACAATTGTCAGTTATAACAAAAGTTCCCAGAGAGGAATTTCTATTGTGGGTTGCTGCAAATGTAAGGGTCCAATATTTATCCCAGGCA